CCCCCGGGCCCCCCAGGCCCCGGGGCGGGGACCCAAAATAAGCATCCGCTTCAGTCCGCCCAGGCCTATCCGGGCCCTTCCGCCATGGAAGCGGCCTTACCGTACCCCTGAGGCGCCCGTCGAATTGCAGTTCGATTCTGTGTCCGGGCCGAATGCTGTTATCCACGAGAGGGACGCTTCGTCGATAAGGGCCACGTATGATCGACGAAGCCGCCCTAGGCACATGCCCTAAGTAATTTTCGCGCGTGAAAGGACGGTGTATGCAGACACTATCTCTGATCCACGCCTTAACCTTGATCACGTTTATCGTTGATCACGACCAGGCTACGATAATCTCCTCTGTGCTCCATGGCTTCAACTCTGTGCCATTTCAATATTATGCTGTGCCATACCAGTACTGCGTCAATTAAGACGGGGTTCGCATTGAGTGAGTCATCTTTCCTGCGCCGCTGCGCTACAATACGGGCAGAGAGCTGGCGGCAGCTCACTGCTCGGAGCTGCGACTGGTATTGCCCTCGACGTGAATCGTCCTTGGTCGTCGGCTACCTCCTGACGGATTGGATTGGTCCCAGCCTTGTTCGAGAGCTGGTGCGCGACGGCTTGGCGCGTCATGGTACTATTTAATAGCCCTTCCGCGACCATGTTGTACGTGTCCACGTCATCCTTGGATGAGAGGGCGTCAAGAATTATGTTGTTCTGCTCCTCCCGCCTCCTCAGACATTCAATCTCGGCTCGAAGGTCTTCCTCTTCCTGGTAACTGTCGACAACGCAGTACTGCCCCTCCGCTGCACACCTGGTGCGGGGCATCTCGCCGGTGCACTAGAGGGACCGTGACTTGTTAATCCAGGCATGAGTACGGCTAAGGCGCCATATGCGTCAAAACTCGTGGCTCACCTTGTCTCGATTTCTGCGGCAGTGCTGACAGCCCGGCAGCGCTCGATGTTCCCAAGTCATGGCTTTGCGGCCTGTTGCTCTCCTGATACAGTGCGGGATAACAGTGCACAGCATGCATTAGATGGTACTCACTTTGATTGGGAACGCTGGAGTGGTCGAGGAGCGCGTCGTAGCAGATGGACACATGCACACCCACAAATATGTATTCTGACTGCTCGTGCCATTTCTGCTTACCTCGTCATCTGGTGGTAACCTGGCTGACAAAAGATGTGCATCGCCTCCACAATAACTGCATGATGTGTGGACATGAGATCGTGGCGGGCGAAATACTCCGCCTACGCCGGGCCACACACGGATGAGCATCCAAACTGTAAATAGCCTAGCGCGACACACCTCAGCCTGGGAGTGACTTCCCTCCGAGCGTGAGAAATCCATTCCATCCGTTGCTCTGCTGTCATAAACCTCGTCTGCTGCAAGGTTACCGTCCCATCTAAGTCATGGGATCTGCCAGTGTTCCCTGATGGATACCGTATTTCCAACTCTCGATGATGTTCTCTCAAACAGCTCCCCGCCGCCTTGGACATTACACGCCTTCGCTGCCCACCTCACCCAGCACCATTGCCTCGAGGCTCTTCATTTTATACTCGACGCGGAGAATTACGCTATATCCTACGAAAAGCAAATGAATATGAGCATTAAATCACCCAAAATTACAGATTCTGTTCCTATGCTCTGGCGAAAGCTGATGCAGGCTTACATTCGTTCCTCCGGCCTGCAACAACTTAATATTCCTGAACAGGAGCGAGAACATCTGCTGAACCTCACGTCCGAGCCTCCGCCTCGCCCCTGTGAACTTCATGAGGCCTGTAAATGCGCCTACGATCTCCTGAATGATTCCTTAGCAGCATTTCTCCGCGCTCCTCAGGCTCCCACAGGGTCATTGCAAGTGCCGTCGGAGCATTCCGATCAACGGTCACAGCTTCAGCCTAGTGAAAGCGGCAACACGTCAACGCATCTCAGACACAGCCTCTGTGTCCCAGAGTCGGAGGTTCTAGTGAGAGAAGAAGTTGGAATCTCGGAATCTGCTGCATTCCTTGCAGGCCCAGGTCCAGGATGGTTTCGGCACATGATCGCTACAGCTTCCCAGTTCTGCAACAGAGTAACTACAGTGTTGGGTTGTACGCACGGAAAATAATACATCGCCAGTTTCGAATACCGCCACAGCGCCCGGCGCTACCTGGCCAAGAAGTTGGACGTTTATGATCAGACTGACACGAGCAGTGCAGGCTCCAGGATGGGGGAGTAATGTCGGCTTGGGCTGTCCTCCACACACAGCCTTGGCTTTCTCGCTCGCAACGTCGTCTTTGGCGACTTTATATGCGACTGGGGCCCGAGGGAAATTGCGGTCGATGTGGTTACACCGCAACTGGTCCAGTAGCCGCCGGAGAGCAGGGAAACTGCGATGGTTTGGCAGTGTCCGAGGCATCGTCGACCCCACGGGCCTGTTTGTGGTCCGTGCCGCCTCACAGCCGGTTCCACTTTGCGGGGCTGGCCCGACGTTGATGGGCACGCACTCGTTTGGATTAGCGTGGTCTGAATTCGGTGCTGTGATTGAGTGCGTTGTCCGGAGGTGCTCCGTTGCAGACCTTGGATCTACTGTTCTGATTGGTTCGTGATCAGGCGTGTCTGGTACTGAAACCATTTCGACGTCGATCAAATGACATGACGGAGGGTTATTTTGGCTATATGATGATGAATGAAGTTCGCGCAGGTCATACGCCCAAACGTTGTACCTTTGGTTCTTACTCTCTCTTAATATCGATCCGGCTCACAGCCA